TTAAGGGAAAATTGCCAAGTGTGTAGAAGTAAATGAGTAAATGTGAGGCCATTCATGTCTTAAATCAACAGACAGCTCTCTGAATGATGCACACACAGTTTACTTCTTTCTCTTTCACTCGCTTTAATTTTGTTGTAATACCATGCCATTTCCCACCCCATGTTTCTACATCAAGTCTCTCTTCTTCCCTTTGTTAGTTATTTGTTGTGGTACGTCAGTAAATTACGATTGACGCAAACAATCTACTGTCTGTGGTGAGACTCTTTATTTACTTCCTCAGCTGAAGGACAGAAGGATGTGGAAACCCCCAGACTGCACCTGCAAACCAACAACTTCCTCTGCTCTGTTTTCTGCCGTGTTCTCTCCATCACACTTCCTGCTGAAACGAGACAGCCACACATTATGTATACACTGTACAACCTCTTGGCGTTTCGCTGGAGAGTTTAAAGGTTCTGGTGTAGCCAATGACCCTCTGACCTTCAGCTTTCTGAAACCTCTGTCTCATCTGAATAGAAACCACACAGCAATTTAATAAACAGTTTGTAGCTGTTGTATTGTGCCATCACATTAAGTAAAGCAATATTTCACCCATAGTACAACTTTAATTTGTTCTATGTGTTTGCCTCTTTATTAATAGCCCAAAAGAGTTGTTTGTAAGACTAACACTTCTAAATAAATAATAAAACCAGAGCTGTTCATATTTAAGCTTTGTTTGTGTGTGAATAATACCAATGCGATATAAAGTGTTAATTAGTGAGCCTTAAAGGTGCTGGAGAGAGTCAGGCTAGCTGTTTACACCTGATTCCGGTCTTTATGCTAAGCTAAGCTAACTGGTTGCTGGCTCCAGCTTCATATTTGGCGTACAGACATGAGAGTGGTATTAATCCTCTGTAACTCTTTGCAAGAGAGTGTTATTTTCAGCTATTATTTTAAGAAGACAGCCTGGTTAAGTTGACAAAATGAGTTAATAAATCAGTTAGTAACGTGATGACTTAATATTGATTACTTTTACCTTTAGTTAGTCTTTAGTTCATTTTCTGTGCTGTGGCGGCTTTTTATGAACTGAACTCCTCATAAGCTTTCTCACAGGAATACATGATGGTAATTAATTATACACATTATTATAAATTGGCTTATTTTCTGAGCTTCAGTAAGGCTTTGTCAAGTTTGTAATATTCTCTCATTTATCTGATAAATGTCCTAAAAACACCATCACATTACAGATAATTTCCAACTGCATAAGACTCAAACTTCATACATTTGTAAAACCCTGCCTGCAGTTGTAGGATGTCAGTATGGTCAGCTTCCTAATGGCTTCTCTGTTCTGTCCTTTGTGTGTTTTACGCTCTGGTGAATCAGTAACATTTGAATGAAAAGAGGTGAATTGATTTTTGTTTTCCTAGCACAAGACCCACCGTGACATTCCCCAGCACATCGTCTTCTGACCCGAGTCACATTGTACTATGTGACTGTTGTTTTACAAGCATGCTAATGCATTCTAAGGGCACTGACCGTGGTGGGAAGACAATGGGCTTAATGACTGCATAGCCGACTGTAACATACAGTACAAGATTAGGGAGGGGAGGGGGGAGGTACACCAAAACACACACAGCACTGTAGACAACAAGAAGAGGATTAGTAATGTAATGTTGAACAATAAGCTGACAGTAAATACAGGTCAGAGGGCTGACAAAACAGTAAGGGATCATGCTGCTGAGGCCTCATTGTCTGCTGGAGAACCCTCAAATATGACAGTGTATAAAGCTTATTTGACACACAGATTACTAGGGCATTAGGGAACTGGGACACAATCCTAATTGACTATTATGTATCACGATGGGAGAGACCTAAAATAACTCAGCATGTAAAACAAACAATAAGAGCTTGTGCTAAAAGTACAATGTCAGTGGAGGAGCAGATCCTCCAGCAGCTATCATCACTATTTTAACTCAGGGACTGTGCAGAAATTATTAGGGGGGCCAGAAAAAGGAAGAGGTTATGTTGTAGTTTATCAATAAATAAATAAAAATAAATCCTTGTATGTGCAACATGGGCCATAAAGGTACGTTTTGCCATATGAAATAATTAACCAGTATGAGGGCTTTATTTTCAACTTCACAATTACATAAACTATATAGCCTGTAAAACTTTAATATCAGTTTTGATAAATGTAGATGTGGATAGTACAGATTGACCATTATCTCTTGAAAGAGTGCATCATATTGTCACTACTGTCAGTGTCACTTTTTGGATAAAAAAATATTCTTTTCTTTCTTGTTTTTGCTAATTCCACCCCTAACATGTGATTTGGTGCTACATGAAAGTTATTATTCCATTAACCAGACCGCCCTCCCAAAATGATCGACAACACTTTCAGCAAGTGTCCTAAAGGTGGGGAGGAGGTTGATGGATGGTTCAACAAACCACCGGACTTAAACATGAGAGGCCGCTGCTCATTTCCTGTTTCTAGCCTACAGTCAACATGATCGTCCCCTGACTGTAACCAAGTGTTTATTATTGTCACCATGATGACAAAACTCCCCTCACCTTAGCAAAGAAGTAATTTTAATCCAAACCGTGATGTTTCCCTTTACCCTAACCAAGTCATTTCTGTGCCTAACCTAAACCATCGAGTTGTCACATTATGAGTGATTTTCCAACAGCGGTCTGTAACAGTTTTGGAAGGCACAAAAATCCCTTGTCCTGCCGGTAGGGGCCTCAGATCAGCTCTGTGTGTCGTTCTGGACAGCATGAAGACACATTTTATCATTTAATTGGGAGGACTTGATATATTGATAATAAAAAGTTAAATATAAGGTTCAAACCCCTCCCCACCCCAATCATTTTCATATTGTTATTATTATAATTCAGAAACTATGTAAATTAAGTCTTTTTAAGATTTATGGATTTCATTGGGATGCATTCGGGGAAACTGTTTTGTTTACTTTCCGAGCCTTGTGCCTAACTGCCTTGAACTCTGCTAACCCCCCCCCCCCCATGTGAAAATAGCCTTTCTAACCAAGTAACATTCCACAGTGGTGAAGTAATTACTTCTAAGCCACGGCTGTCACACCGCAGAGCCCACAAACAACAACCGTGCTACCTGCTTTAACATTAATAAAGCAGTGCATCTCATAAACCACTTACAGAAATAAAATGTTGCCTGCATTTACAGTTCTGAGGAGCTGGGAAAACATTACTCGTATGAGCAGCCCAGGCGCTGACTTATGTGTAAAAAACCTGGAATAACCTTTCTGAGTGAGGGGCGTTGGTCGGGGTAACAGGCCTCTCAGATGACTTCTACAATGTGTCACAGAATAGTATACAACAATAAGGCTGCGGCCAATGTAACCCGCCTATGTAATAATAACAAAGAGAATAATTATGAAAATAAATAATATGAAAATAAAGGAAAGTTTCACAATAGGTGTAGAAAGGGTAATGGGAAGCAATCGTGATATAATAAGGAAATGCTACTGAGTAGTCTGAACTACTTAGAACTGGAAATAAAGATATTACAAAATAGTCTGAAGAGAAAAAAGTGTAATGCAAGAAAGTATTGAGAGTAATTTAATACTCTGGTGATTAAAGTGACCAATAAGCTGCTTTTTTACAAACAAGAAAATTATATTACTTTAATTGTTAGGGGAGATTAATCAGCTGATTACTCTCTTATTTAATTAAATACGGTAATCATGGACGAATCAGTGGGAAAAGGCCTATCACAAGTTCCAAAGAGACCAAATTAGCATATTCAAATGCATATTTTGATCAGTGAAGAGTCCAAATCCCAAAGATTTTCAGTTTATCATATAAAAAAAACGGTGAAAAAAAGAAAATATTCACATTTGAGAGGTTGGAAGTGGGGAATGTTTGGCATTTTGCTTCAAAGTGATCGATGACCTAAATTGCTAATAAATTGGATCAATCGATTAATCATTTCAGCTCTCTATAGACTTGACTACAGACTCTAGTGCTTCTATTGGTGGACATGAATCCAGGTAACTTCAGAGCACAGAGCTACATTCAACAAAAACAGGCAAGTAGGTCAAAGCCATTTACAATATGCATGCAAATATATAGATTTTTTTTAAAAATTTACTTAGTAAGAGAAATGCTCATGCACAATTACTAATTTGAACTGTAAAAACTTTCCATCCAGCTTACTTTGATTCTTATTCTTAATTATCTATAATCTATCTATCTATCGTATTCATGGTTAGGAGACATATGTCAAGTAAGTGGTCAAAAAGTCAAGCACCTTTTTCAGTTATTAAAAAGAGAAATAAGTCAGCAGTTATTTCCCTTTTCTCTTCTATAAGTAACCAAACGCACATGATCTTGGTGTTTGGCGCCTTTACTACTCCACATACCGCAGCAAACATACTGTATACCCATATGGGCATGTGGTAAATCTGTAGGAGAAGTCGTCAAACTGGAGCTATATGACCCAGTTAAGAGAGTCACGTTGAGTTGCAACGTGACTCGAGGCCGTGGGCCCGGTGCCAACACAAAACGTGATGCAAGCACTACACGAGAATGTGTGTCACATTTACTGGAGAAGGGGAAATGGCGCCCTTTGCCAAGATATTTGACCTACTTCTAGTGGCTGTGAAGGAGAAGGCAAAGCACAAGGGCGCAACAGAGTGCAGCAGCAACAGGTTTGGAGCAGGAGCGCACAGACAGACAGACAGACAGACAGAGGATTTTAGCATCATAATAACAGGGTAAGAAACGATTTATAATCATTATTTACAATGTTATAAATATTCAACATCATTAAATGCAGTTTTGTAACTTTTTTTTTTACTTTCATGCATTTTGGGTGTTTGTTTTTTTTGCGCACTTTTGCAGCAATGCAAGTTTATCTTGTGCTGCGTTTAATTGTCGTCAGAATTTATGGTACCAATGTTCACCTCCTGGCTGCGCTCCAACAATGACTGTTTTGGTGTAAACCCACGTGACTGGCTCCTGTAATAGGACGTCCCCCTCCTGACTTTACAAACAAGTCGCAGATAAGGGGGCAAGAGCAACCCTCCCGTGGGTAGTGGCTACCAAAACCTTTTCAACGTGACAGTGTTTATTTCCACGGAGCTGTCAGGAACACCTCACTCCGTCTTAACTGGGTGAATTGTGCGCAGTTTGTGGACCAAAGCGCTCGAGCCGTGAAACTTTTGCAAACTTTTGAGATACTGACGCTGATGGTAAGGAGGATATATCTTATCTTATGTATTTACTGTCTTTCTAAAAGTTAGAGTTTTCTTATGAAGTCGCTTGTGTGGGTTTGTTTTAGCTTTGAGCTGGATAAATGTTAGCTAAAGTTGACGCAGTTTTTAAAACCGTTTTCACCGGTTTGCCAGACGTGAATGCGCATTTAAAACAAGTTCATTCCTGTTTCAATGTTAATTAATATTGGTGTATTGTTGGTCGTAGTGTTTCAGTGAATAATAAATAGGTGTTATGTGTGTAATATGAGTGTTAAGTGCCTCGACGAGATGCGGACAGTTTGTGTGTCGCATCTCATTGACCCACATCCGCACTGAATCCGACTGCGTCACGACTGTGTTTTCTCCACACTTTAGTCTTTTTTAAGGCTTTAAGCGAACTTTCTGGTGCTGTTTTATTCAACACTGCACGGCATTGTGTTGCGGTTGCAGAGACACGAGTTGCATTCAGAATTGTAGTGATTTTAGGGGGAGTTTGGGTAAAACTGGGGGGGGGGGGGTTCTCGGTGTTTTTCTGCAAGTGGGGACACCGAGTCGGGTGGAAACCTGATCTGCATACCGCGCCCACTTCATTCTCGACACAAACAACTTTCACTGGGAGAGAGCACAGCCCTGTCGGTGAAAGGAGGCAATTGTGGTTTTGGTTTTGTGTTGTTTTTAATGTCTATCCAGCTCTGAAGGAAACATTTAAAGCCGTTGCGGGTGAAATCTAATTATAAATGGTGATTAGAGCAAAGTACGCACTTCAGAAAATGTTGGAATTCGTCGCCCGCTGTGGTTTCAAACACGTGTTTTTTTAACAGTTTATACGAGTAGACAGACGTAGTAAAACATTACAGGCTATTTGACTTGTGAAAGTGCTCTTTTCTAGCTATTTATTCTGTAGGTGTCAAACAATTGCGCAACGCCCCCCTCAGCCCCCTCTGGGTTTGTTTTTCCCCCAGCCGGCCTCTGACTGTCTTCAGGCTGATCCTGGGCTGATATGATGGCATGTTGGTATTTCTCTAAGTCCCTCTGTGCACTTCCCCGCACTGTGTTCCACATGCCTGATTACACATGTACAATAAATGCTTTAAAACACCACAAATAAAACTTTATTTTTCACATTTTTACATTCCAATTTGACATTATCGGGAGAGAAGGGAATCTGTGTGTAATGTTAATGTGCGCTGTAGATATTGGCAAAGTCAAACTTGACTTTTATTTGAAGGAAACAGGCCGACATCGAAAGCCAGATTTCCAATTTTTTTAATATTAGATTTAAATTTATTTAGGTATATGTGTTCAGTACCCACAGGGCCGCTACAAAACCACAGCGTGACAAGGTCAAAAGATAAAAACGCAGGAGCCACCTTAAGGCTCTTACCAACTGAATTAATATTGAATCCTGTTACCACGAACCGGGTTTTTGCTCCGAAATTTGTGCCAGTATGGAAACATTTTAGACCGTATATTCAACAGTGTCAGTAGAAGAGCCACATATCTCTCAGCTCTATAATAGTTACTGCACATCCCAGATGCCTGGACACAGCTGATAAAGCACTGAGCCCTCCGTTCAGTGATAGTCAGTAGAGGAAGCAGTAAGCGAGGGATGAGGTCATCGCTTCTATCTCACTCTATGTAGAGATAGTGCAGGTGGTCATAACGCTGGAAACACAAGGCACAATGTCAGTCACCAGTGGAGAAATCAGTCCCACAATTCAACAGTGGCTCTCTAATTAAATGTGGCAGATGGCCGTTGGGGTGCGTGGGGAGCATTCCTCACATGAGCCCTTTCTCTCGGTGACCCCTGACCTCTGCGGTGGACCTGTGACTGGCAGACACCAGGGCAGGTGGAGGGTCAGGTTCACACTGACACGGCGGGGCAGTTCCCCACACGTGTGTTTGTTCACATCACACCTCACTGAAGCTCTGCAGGCCTAACAGCCAGCACTCAACCTCTGCCCTTCCTCTAACACTGTGTGTGCGTACGTGTGTTTGTTCTCTGACAGGAAAATGGCGATAGCCTCTCCATCAACATCGACAGCAGGACCAGCAATGGCGTCTGACTCAGAGCTCTCACGCCTGGGGGGTATCGAGGCCTTGAAATTAAAGGTGGGGCCGGTACGGAGGAACCTGTTCGGGCCCGTGGACCACGAGCAGCTCCAGCAGGACTTCAAGCGGCTGCTGTGCATGAGCGTGGAGGTGGCCAACAAGCGGTGGAACTTCGATTTCCAGCGCGAAACGCCGGGAGAGGGCTCCAGCATGGAGTGGGAGGAGCTCAGGTGCCAGGACGTGCCGGCGTTTTACCGCAGCTGCACGGTCGGGCCGGTGCCGGTGCCACAGGGCAAAAGGTGGGCGTCGTCTTCGTCGGGCGAAGGCTCCACAGGGTCCAGCAGCTCGTCCGGATCTGGGGATGAGTACTTGGAGGTGACCACAAGGGGGTGCTACCGGATCAAACGGCAAGGGAAACGCAGACAGGCTGCCATCACAGGTCAGTCCGCCAAATCTCCATAAATCAAACAGTTGATTCTAGGTGTAGCTAACTGGCTGCATAAGGCTCATCAAGAAAGCAGATAAACTAATTTTGTAACATTGTCTTTTCCTCTAACACTGCTTTTATTTCTATAATGCTAGGATAATGTAGTAAAGTGATATGAGACAACTAGGAGAGATTTTAGTTCTTTTTTTACTGACTTTGCATCGTCTTTCATTCTCCAGATTTCTTCAAGGTGAAGAAGAGGAAGCTTCTGCATTACAAAGGATCTTCTCGACAGTAGAAAAGCACAACTAGACCCAGTAGAGGATCACTAGGTGGTCGACACCCCTCTACACATCACCTCACACAGATATGTGTCATATCATATGTATATATGTAGCAATTTGTAACTGACTGTCCACAAGCTCATACAGCACGGGCTTAAAAACTCCTGACACCACATACGTTTAACATTCAGCATAAGGAAGCTACCATTTCCCTACATAATCAAGCTCAGACTTTAGAAACGGTTTTTGTTGATAATTCCAAATGTTATATATATTCTATATACTGTTTCCCTCAGCTTTTGACTATACTGTGAAATGATTTTGAATGCACTCTTAACAGAAAACAGGCTGTAGTTTTAAGAGGTTAATCTTCTTCTGAACGGGCCTCGGATAGTATTTGACCTCAGTCCTCAACCCTTTTTTCTCCCTCTTGCTGAAAGTCAGAAGAGGTTTTGATTAGATGAGTTACTATTCCTGGCCTCGTGTCACACTTAGCCTTTAGTCTCACCCCACGGCTCCCAGAGCACGAGTCGAGCCAGGGGTCGAAACCTCACCCAGGGCTCAAAATTTGGCAGCGCGACTGTGATTAGCTCCAGGTTAAAAGGTCAACGGTGGAGGTTCAGCGATGAGGTAATTCGGCCACACCTGTACGATAGCGAGTATTAATAATAATGTTTCATATGTTTATTTATTATTCATGATGCTAGGTCATCATCAAAATTTTAAAAAATGTTGAAAAAAAAATAGACAAGCAATGTGTAAAACGAGGTAAGATGAGGTGTTTGTGGAAACCTGTGCCATTCCCCCCAAATCATGCATTAGACTGTAAGTCTTTGTGGCTCATATACACTCCACCGTTGCCGCTTAAGAATATTGGCCATGTGTATTTAACACCATCACCACATAGCAAAACAATATACAAACCATTGTCCCTTTTTGCTTTGTATTGTTTGCATAATGGGGTTGTAAAAATCTTTGTTGTGGCAACAGACCTGAACATACCTTATTTAGTCGTATGTTTTCGCCAGCTTAATGCTTGTAACAATGTAGCATTTTCCACTCTGTCTTCATGTGATTTCCACCTTGTAGGTTTTAAATGCGCCTCTTTTCTCCATGAAGGGAATGTTTTGTGTTATCACTGCTGCAGCTCAGGGGGATCAAAGCCTTCGGTTCCACCTTTGCTAATCTGTCGAGCTGCCTCGCATTTTCTGTCTGTTCTCTAAGTGTTTTCATCGTGTGTATATAAGCATACAAGTGTTTGTGTATGAATGTGTTGGTTTGGTGTGGCAGCTGAGGCAGTTGAACCAAAGAGGAAATTGCTGTGCCATTAAATTAGAAACACATCATTTATAAAAGTCGCTCACTGTTTGAGTGATCAGTTATGGCTCACAGAAGGTCTCAAGCACGCCCAGATCTTCAAATACAGAGTGTAAAGACACCACAACTTCTCAACTAACAGTTTTGGTGACTCAAAAAAGGACGTGCCTACTTTTTCTTCCTGACCTGAAGTCCTTCTAATTTGTATATGGATGAAAAGCCATAACCTGGATTTATACATCCTTACTACCTCATCAAGTGATTCAGTAAAAACAAGTTAAATATACTTAAGATATTAAAAAAAATAAGAATGTAGCTCAGATTGTTTGCTCCTACAGGCGAAAGAGAGACAGAGAGACATAAACAAGGGGGGTTGGGGGCCTTATCATTCTGTTGTGGTAAAAGCTGTCGAGGTTCAGCGCTCCGTGTAGAGTTTCACATCAGGTAAAAGAGTCAGTGTGTCAGAGCGGGGCCCGGCTCCACGCAGAGGAAACTCCAGTCCCTCAAGGGTGGGGGCTGGGCAGGGAGCTGCTGTTGTCTGTCCCTCTCTGCCTCACTTTGCTTTGACAGTTTCCCAGAAATAGAGCAGAGGAAGAGGAGTGGGGGGAAGGACGGGGAAAACTTTAATAGAAAAAGAGAAAATCACTCAGACCCCTTCTGGATCAAAGGATTTCTGAGGCCAGACAAGTAGCCCGCGATTCAGACGCGCTTTTGTCTGCCCCCTTTAAGTCTCTGAGTCTCTCTTTCATGAACCAACCGCCTCAGTCTGCGAAAAATCGGCATGAAAGCAGTTGTTCATAATCATGTTATTCTTTCATGACTCAACAAGGCGATCTTTCACAGATCTAAAAATAGCAAACACGGTTATTCGAAATGGTCTTGAATTTGTCAGGATGACTTGTTTTGTTTGTCAACTTATCTATGTGTGTGTGTGTGTGTGAGACACAACTATCTTCTCAGTGCGTTGAAGAGTAAACTTTCAAAGTCTATTAACTTATTTTGAGTTATCATTTGTTTTGTAGGGAAATAATTATAAATGCCCTATTTGCTATAACTAATTGTGTTATTTCTGAAACTATATCTTTGCACTACTTAACATTGTTGACAAGAGAACTATTTTTTTATGGTAATCTTAAAAAAACAAAAAAAAACAACAACATACTGAGGCACAGATTAGTAATTTCTTGATATTTAGAATAGAATATTTTTTTCCTCCAATCAGACTTTTAGACACAGTTTCTAACATTTGTTCATTGGTTCCTTAGGATTTCTTTGCAGCTGTATTAGTCTTAGTCTCAGGTCTGTTAGGAGGAAATAAAATAAAGGAAGAAAAACTATAAATGTCAAGATTTTTCTTTTAGTGTCACATTGCCCAAGCAAACTTGGCTTTCCTAAATCACCTGTCGCAGCTATTTCAAAGTGTAGCTTTTTTTTTACATTTTGTATATGCATGAATGTATGATAATCTTTGTACACCATTTGTAGTAATTTTATTGTAATTTAATACTGGTTTATGTATCCTTGCAACATGTAAGAAGTGTATTTTTATGGGATCAGAATCATGTCCTTTTTGACAATATTTGTATAGAGAATATATTGCTGGGTTGTTGGTGCACTGTTGCCTTTCATATTGTTGATTTCATAGTGTGCTCAAAATAATAAAATGTTAATGAGATTGATATAAACCACAACACACTGGTCTGTTTGTGTTTCCCACTAGTTTTTATGGGCTACGAATGTAAGGTTGAAACTTAATAGCACCTCCTGGTGGTTTCCAAGTAACATTGCACACAGTTAATCAATAGACTGTTTTCATACACTGTGTTTGGCAATAATGTGACTTCATGGGTCTTAGAAGCTGTAATAAAATAAAGATCAGTTACAAGACAAAAATATTTTATCAAAAGAGTTCCCACCTTTACTTATCTGAAATATTCGGTGTGTTTTACAAGATATCGCACAATTTGCAAAATGTGATTTGCATTTATTTAAAATGAAAAAAATGCATTTACATTAGTTAAAACTTGAAAAGTTCACATAAATAAAAATAAAACAAAACAAAAAAAATACACCACAGATAGTGTTACAGATTCCACATACATTTCAGTTTACATTCGATGACATTTTACTTGGCAAGTTAAGAGATTTTTAGTTTTAAGCTCCACTGCTCTCGGGTTAGCATAAGGAAACATGTCTAAAAGCATGTTACATGGTGACTTATGTATCTACATGCAATGGAGCACATTATTTGTTGTGTGTATTGGCCACAATGGCTGGAAAATCACAAATTGTAGTCTCTTTTTACAGATTGTAACTAAATGATGATGATGACGGCAGACAACATATTCAAACAATACCTCGCACGTGGCTGGTGTACAAGTATTTTTCCTTTAAAACGTGATAACAGACAACGTTCGGGTAGATTCAGTCAAGTTCCCCAAACAAAACAAAAGTGCAGTTTCTGCTATTAACAGACAAAACGTTTCTCTTCTGCAATGTCAGTATGCAGTTTACACTTCAATGTGTGTCAAATGTGCGCTGTAAACTAAACGTTTGAGAGGACAATGGGACATTGTTCTAATTGTGTTTCTGTCAGTGTGTGTGTGTTTTCCTGTGACTCAAGACACTCAAACTTGAGGCGTAAACATTCCAGTGGCCAGGAGGTGAAAAAGGAATGACGAGCAATTATGAAGTCAGTGATTGACACACATACAGAATCAAGAGGACCAATCCTCTGAACGGAAAGGCTTTAAAGTGTAGTTTCTAACCCTGATTACACAAAACTGTACATGAGAGAAATCGAGTGGCTGTGACTTGAACGCCCCCCAAAACCCAGCTAAGATCTAAGTGGTTCAGTAAAATCTTCAAGACTTAATAGTTAGTTAGAATACTACAGTGCAATATTCATTATCCCAACCAAAATATTATACATATCTACAAAAGTTGACAATACATTTCTACATTAAAATTATTATTCACATTCTTCAGGCAATCCTGACCCCCAGACTGCCTCAGAGGGCCTGTTTTTTTTTTTTTTTACAGTAAGTTAAGAACTCCTGAATAAAAGGCCAAAATTGACTCAAGAGCATGTGCATTTTAAAAATTTAAGTTTTTTTTACATCCATTTAAATTCTAAAATATATACACTAGTACATTCTGTGAATTCACAGACTGGTTGTGCCTGACAGCCAGGTTCCTTTAAAAGCCTTTATTTTTTTTATTCTTTTAAATCAGGCACTTAAGCTCAACCTCTAAATCCTTGTATTCACACTTTAGGCTTTTAGTGAGTGGAAAAGACTTCAGCGTTATGCTCAGGGACCTACTCACGGGGGTTATACCACACAACCACTGGACGCTGTGGGAGTTAAACTGGTGGTGCGCTAACTCCAGGTCACCTTAATCAACGTGGCTGAGAGAAACACCATCCACCAAAATCGGTCCACCTCCCGTGTCTGAGCAGCGTGTGTGCGGTCACTGATAAAGAGTAGAAACATTACGGTGGGCAGATGTTGACGCTTTCACAGCTGGCGGTGCAGAGCTTGTCTGTCTCTCCACATGGCACGCACCTCTTTGATGAGCAAGGGAGTGATGAACACAATGCTGCCCCCTGTCTGTAAAATGAAGACACAAGGGTTTTGATTAATGCTTTGTTAACAGTTGGAAATTAAAATGTACTTTCAACCAAAGCAAAACACGCTACAAACATTCATTTACTTAGAATTGGCATTTAAACAACAGAATTATAGAAAACAAACGTGTAAGACAGGAAAAGCACAGAGTTAATAACATTAACGATGGCTTCATTCTTTGTGCTGCATTATGTCCTGACAGTGTGAGCCAGCATGAATAATACACCTGTGCCTTTCCCACCGTGACATTTCAGTTAAAAAAAGGCGTATTGTGATTCCAGGAAGTCATCTCACCATGACGACGAAGAAGTAGAACACACACATCCAGCCCAGCTTGCTCTCAATCAGGGACACCAGGTACTGGAGGAAGATGGAGATATAAATTAAACTGACAGACTGTGGGTGCTAAAATCCAAAATAAAGCGCTGCTAGAAATTGAAATGAATTTAAGCTAGCAACACCAGATTTACGCTGACTCTCAGATACAGAATATTTACGCTTACTTTTCCTCAACTATGTAGCATACATATAGAACCACATGCATCAACTGTATCTGGGCAGATGTATTCTAGTAGTTTTTTCTTATTTCTTTAAGGACATAAATCTGTTTTACTAGAGAGCTGTTTTTTTTTTTTTTTTGGTTCACCTGTCCACCAGCAGCTCCTATGCTCCCAGTTCCATCCACTATGCCAGTGACAGTGGCCAAAGCCTCCTGACTCCCCCTCAGAGCCTCCTGTCTGCCCAGGTCAGCGGATATGGCGGAGCTGATCATGTTAGATGGGCCGCCGATGAAGAAGCCAGTGGTAGCCAACAGCGCTGCGTTTATCAGCTTGTCGTTAGGCGAGTCTGAGAAGGATGGAGAGAGAGAGGGGGAGGGAGCAGAATTGTGTTACTGGAGCTCTGAACTCTGTTTCTTCAATGCCTGTGTTAACCCTAAACAATATGATTTGTATGTATTCACATAAGGCTGCACCTAATGATTATTTCCATCTTCTTTGTGATTATCAATTAATTATTCGGTCTATAAAATGTCCATCTTAATATCAACCAATCGTGTCCACTCTGTACTCACTGCTGTATCCCACCAGGGCTCCCATCGCCAGCGCCAGACTAATGGCCAACACCGGGGCTCTCTTTCCCATGAAGTCAGAAATCAAACCCTGAACTGTCCCTCCTGAGACAAAGAAACAAATTGACAGAGACACAATAAGAGTAGACAGTTATCATCCAAACTCTGATGATATTCATATATAAAGGAAAGGTGTCTTATTTTACACAAAAAATATAGTCCTATATAGGGATAAGGCAGTAGTTTATATTAATTTATATTATATCTATTTTTCAATTTAATATATGAGCCTTGAACACACACAGTCTCATATCCAAAGAAATGTTTTGTCTTATTTGAATTTTTCACTGTACCCGCTGAACATTTTTTAAATGACTATGGTTAAACAAAGGATGGAAGAAAATGCAGAAATGCGCGTGCCACTCACCGATGATTCCTCCGACGTCATACCACACGGACAGACGGTCGGCCTCAGCCTCCTTCCAGCCATAGTTGTTGCTCAGGTAGAAAGGCAGCCAGAAGAAGAAGGAGTAGTTGACCAGCTTCAGACACGCGTAAGCCAGAGAATACTGCAAACAACGTGGTGTGAAAACTCTAATGTGTTTGAATCATTTTTACTCGTGGTGAAGTGCTTGTTGTAAATACACGTGTTTTGACTCGTTGAGAGTTGTGGACTCACAGGTAGCACTCCAGGCAGACAGAAAGCCTGGCAGAAGCCGATGGCTCGAGGAGGCTCGGCCAGAGGTTCGTCCGGCTGCTGAACCGACTGGTACGGTCTGCCATACACCTCCACCTCCACCTCATTCTCCTCGTCGCTCATCAGAGGCCGGTGGCTGTCTGTGTCCGTCTCCACCGGATTGAGCCCCGTCTCTGCCTCCAAACTCAAACCTGACACACGAACATTCATGAAATCGCTTAAATTCAATCAAGAGTTTAGTTGAGAAGTTCAAAATGGCTTCTGTGGGAATTACGTCAATTTAAATTAAACAGAGTTGGGTGGTCATGTTTTTGTAACACGTTGTTCGCCGTCCTTACCGACTTCTTTTGGGGAGGTAAGTAGGCCGAAGAACACCACCACCCCGCCGGCAAACTGCACCACTGACGTCACCAGGAAGGCGTACTGCACACAGGAACATATGATACGCCATTGAGTTGCTGAGAACATTGTGGTAAAAGGTATCAATAAGTGTGTGTTTGTGTATGCACGTCTTACCTCATATCCATACTTGAGCACGCTGGAAGCCAGGAAGGCCCCCAGGATGTTGCCTACAGAGGCACAAGCACTCCACAGGCCGAAGATAAAGCCACGGCTGGAAAACAACAGGAAGTTCAATTATAAATACTTTAAAATAAATAAGTATTATTTTTAATGCCTTCTGTTCCATTTTGGTTTGTGTCTATAAAAAAAAATGCAACTTCACAGAAAGCTCAGTGACTTGCTATTTTTATATTCAGCAAATTATGTTTACAAGTCCGCCAGTGAGGAAAAGTGTGTCTAAATGGCGTCTGTGTTCCGACAGCAGCACCCATGAATGGACGCCATTGTGCGAGCGTGAGTGTTTCCGAGCGTGGGTGTGTATCATAGAGCTCCACTTGACGGACACGAAACTTGACTAAATATTTCTAGGCGGGATGGATGTTGCGAACATATGATCCAAACATATCCACGGCTAACACTTGAAGCAATGTTAAGATAAATGGAGGGTTTTGTACACGGATGGAATGTCACACGCACCCCGTCTTGCCGAACCAGTTGCCCATGACGGCCACCACGCAGGGCCAGACGGCTGACTGCAGCAGGCCGTTCAGCACCCACAGGCCACAGTACAGATAGATGTTGTAGATGTGGAGCCATTCGGTGAGGGTGCCAAACACAAACTCCTGCAAACACACAGACAGCTACCAGTTAGATTCCAAAATATTATATCGATACAGCGTACTGGGAACAATTGGGAACCTGATCTTTATTATAAATGTAATAATGCCTTCTCTG